TGAGAAAAGAAAGAGATAGGGAGAAAGGAGAGAGAGAGGGAGGGAGAGTGAGAGAGGGGGGAGGGAGGGAGGGAGGGAGGGAGGGAGAGGGAGAGGGAGAGGGAGAGGGAGAGGGAGAGGGAGAGAGAAGGAGAGGAGAAGAGGGAAGAGGAGAGGGAAAGGGAGGAGGGAGAGGGAGAGGGAGAGGAGAGGGAGAGGGAGAGGGAGAGAGGGAGAGAGAGAGAGAGAGAGAGAGAGAGAGAGAGAGAGGGAGAGAGGGAGAGAGGGAGAGAGAGGGAGAGAGGGAGAGAGAGAGAGAGAGAGGAGAGAGAGAGAGAGAGAGAGAGAGAGAGAGAGAGAGAGAGAGAGAGAGAAAGAAAGAAAGACAGAAAGAGAGAAAGACAGAGAGAGAGAGAAAAGAGAGAAAGAGACAGGAAAAGACAGGGAGAAGAGAGAAACAGACAGAGCGAGAGAAGAAGACAGAAGAAAGAAGACAAGAAAGAGATTTAATCTATTTTAGTTATATTCTCCATTTGTTGCGATGGCTATCACTGGAGCGACAGGCTGTCCGTTTCATTTTGCTTCTAAATTACCCGTGTGTGCAAGGAATGGCCGGGGTTACTATTCACTGGCGGTGTGCGGTAATTGAACACGGGTCAGGAATAGTAATAAATAATAACGATGAGGATAATGATGATAATGAAAATGGTAATGATGATAAAATGATAATAATACTAATGATGATGATTTTTATAGTAAGAATCATTAGTGATATTAGTGATGATAATAATGATGATGATGATACTGTAATGATAATAATGATGATAACAATAACGATGATAATGAAAATAACCGTAATAATAATAATGATAGCTATAGTAGTAAGATAATGATAATATAATAACAATGATAATGATAATAATAGTAATGATAATGATATGATAATACTGTTAATGATAATGATAATGATAATAATGGTAATAATAATAATAATAATAATAATAATAATAATAATAATAATAATAATAATGAAAATACTAATAATGAATAATAATAATAATATAATAATAATAATATAATAATAATAACAATAATAATAATAATGAATAATTGTAATGATAATAATGATGACAATAATAGTGATGAAATGCAAAAATAACAAACAGGAAAATAGATCCAAAGAACGAAACCACAAGAAAAAAAAAAATAAAAAACAAATAAAATATCAACCTTGAAAGAAAGAGAGGCAAAAAAGAGGAAAAAAAAAAGAAAGACTCGACCACACGCAACCTCCATGACGGACATGTTTACGACAGGTTTCATGAACTGAGCGCGGCTTCCGACTTCAAAGGGAGAACGAGCGCGACCTCCGAAATCAGGGTCTGAATTCAACATAACACGCCTATAAAAAATCAGCCTCAAGCGGGGTTATCGGCTTCGAGGGTTGTGGCGAGCTGACGTCGGGCTTGTTGTGTGTGTGGTGTTTGTGATGCGGGACGTGGGTGGGGTGGTGGTGTGGGTGGGTGTTTGTTTGTGGTTAGGTGGGGGGGGTTGTTTTGTGGTGTGTGTGTGCGTGGTGTGTGTGGGTGGTGTCAGAGAGAGTGAGGAGATAAGAGATAGACAGATAGTAGACAGAGAGATGGAGATAGAATAGATAGATAGATAGAGAGAGAGAGAGATATATAGGTAGATAAATAGAGAGAGATGAAATAGATTGATAGAATAGATCAGATAGATAGATAGATAGATAGATAGAGAGAGAGAGAGAGAGAGAAAGAAAGAAAAGAAAAGAAAGAGAGAGAGAGAAATATAAAGAAAGAAAGAGAATAAATAAATAAAGAGAGAAAGAGAGAAATATAATAAAGTTTCTGTCCGCGTCTGTATGCGCCTGTCTGTGCGGCGAACGAACGAATCTGCACGTATTTGCAAGCCGCCGCGCACGACTTTGCAAACGGCCCGCCACGAAACGACCCCAAGTTGCAACTCGACAAAATTCCCCTCCAACGTGAACTCGACCTTGTCCTTATCACCAAACGCTTGCGCACATGCTTGCGCATGACAGGCAGGTTTGCCATGCGAGCTTGCGTGTCTGGTTTGCATCGCAGCTTGGGGAAGAAGATTGGTCTCGTGCTAACCAACAAACCGGAACAGATGATTATGGACTTTGATGCATGTGTACGTACAAACAGGAACGCATGTGTGTGTACAGTTTGCTCAGGGGAGAGCGACGAAAAAGGAGAGATGGAAGGGGAGAGAGGGATTGGGAGAGGGAGAGGGAGAGAGGGAGGGGAAAGGGAGAGAGGGAGAGAGGGAGAGAGAGGAGAGAGGGAGTTTGGGTGTTGTGTGTGTGTGTGTGTGTGTGTGAGAGAGAGGAGAGAGAGAGAGAGAGAGAGAGAGAGAGAGAGTAGAGAGAGAGAGAGAGAAGAGAGAGAGAGAGAGAGAGAGAGAGAGAGAGAGAAGAGACAAAGAAAGATAAAAAAGATAAAAGCCAGAGAGAAATATAAAGAGAATAAAGGAAAGAATGGACAAAAGAGAAAGACAAGAAAGAGAGTTATCAATGCTAATTCGTTAAACCATCAGTAACACCCAACAGCCCAATCATGCATACCTCAGACCTCACCAACTAAGATTTTCTATAAATAGCCCTCCGCCATACGTTCTTAAAGGCCATGACTAAAGGTCCTATCACACTAGCACTTTTTTCCGTCAATTTCTTCTGGGGTTTCCGCTGAATTTGAGGCTTTGCGCAAGGATTCGTCTGCAAACGGAACGCCTCCCAGACCAAGACGGTTACGACCGTTTCCGTCTGACTAATTTCCGTGTTGATCTTGTGCTATTAATCAATTAGATAGGATGAGTGAATGGAAACATAAGCTAATATTTTAGAACATTCGTATATACAATATACATCATCATATTTCTTTAAAATATCGTAATATGTATGAGAAATTCGTGTGATTCCCCGGGACCTCACTCCCGATAGCGCCATGTTTGTTTACATGATTTCAGCACGGACATTCGGAAAACGCAAAAAAAAAAAAAAAAAAAAAAAAAAAACGAAAAAAGTGCTAGTGTGATAGGGCCTTAAAAGAAATAACCAAAAGTAGTAAAAACAAAAGGAAAAATGAAATGAAATAAGACTGAAACTAAGTAGCACGGAATAACAGCAAACTAAGATCAAATGATGTTACATACGCAGATAGATAGAGATAGATAGAGATAAATAGATAGATAAAGAGAGAAATAGATAGATAGATAGATAGATAGATGAGAGAGAGAGAGAGAGAGAGGAGAGAGAGAGAGAGAGGAGAGAGAGAGAGAGAGGAGAGGGAGGGAGGGAGAGAGAGAGAGAGAGAGAGAGAGAGAGAGAGAGAGAGAGAGAGAGAGAGAGAGAGAGGAGAAGAGAGAGAGAGAGAGAGAGAGAGAGGAGAGACAGAAGAGACAGACAGACAGGAAAGAGAAGGAGAGATAGAAAGAGATAGAATAGATAATTGATAGACGGATAGAGAGATAAATAGATAGATAGACAGAGAAACAACAAACAGCTCGACAAGATCAGATATTCCCCATTCAACCCATGTCATTTCTCTACGTTTTCCATCTCTCTAAAACATTAGTTGGCAATTCACCTTTATTGATTCCTCCCTCCCCCCCCCCCCCACGTAAAACCTTTTTTATTCATTTTTTTTTTTTCACCTCATCCTCTTCATTTCCCATTCAGCATCCATCTTCATCAGCATCACCTTCTATGACGTATTTATCTTCGTCAGCGCTATTGTGCCATATAGTGTTCGTATCATTAATCATCGTCAGAGCTTCGGTTCTCTGCCCGTTTAACAACCTCTTCAATCATCTTTTTATTTCGTTTTTATCTTTTTTTTTTATATCCCTTGCCGAATTACGTATATTATTAGGCCTATGTATGAAGGTTTCTAAGTACGGATTGTTTGAGAGAAATGAGATATGAAGAGGTTTTTAAAAAATGGTGAAAAAAAGGGTAGATTCTACTCTTCATCTCTCTTTAAAAAATGAGAGAGATAAAAAAAAAGGTTCGGGCTTTGTCGTTAACTAATAAATGGAATCAACAATTAGAAAGGCTGAGTATGTTTGCATATATTAATGGCATGTTTATTTTCCACCGGCGTGTCCCGCGTCGCGGCGCGCATTCCCGCCCTTATGGTCCCCGGTCCGAGGGTCGATTCTCGCCCGGCCGTCGCTCTCCCGGTTGCTGACGTCACGTAGGGATGCTGGGATTCGACCCCGAAAGTTCAACTTAAAAAATTTACGCATCTGTGTGAGTTATCGGGAGGGGGAGGAAGGGGAGGGAGGTGGAGGGGAAGAGGGGGAGGCAGGGGGTAATGAGGTAAGTGATTAGAGGAAGAGAGGAAGGGGGTAGGGTAAGGGTGAAGGAATGAGCGTTATGGAAGGAAAGGAGAGAGAGGCAAAAGGGAGAGTGAGTGAGTGAGGAAAGGGGAGGGAGGAAGCAGGAGGGCAGGGGAAAGAGGGGGAGGAAGGGGGGTGGAGAGGAGGTAGGAAGGGGGGGAGCGGAGAAGGGAGGCTAAGAGGGTGTGAGGGAGAGGGGAGGCAAGGGTGCGAGGGAAGGGGGAGAAGAGGGAAGGAAGGGGGGAAGGGGAGAATAGAGGGGGAAGGGGGAGGGAGAGGGGAGGATGGGAAGAGGGGGAGGGAGGGTGTGAAAAGAGGGGGCGAAAAGGTTGAACTGGGGAAGGTTGAGAGTCGACAGAGAGGATTAGGATTACCTCGTGAGGGCAAGAGGGGAATAGAGAGAGAGGGTAGGAAGAGGGGGAAGGTAGAGGTAGGAAGGGAGAGAACGGGAGGGGTAGGAAGTGGGGTGGCAGGAAGAAAGAAGGAAGGTGGGAGGGAGGCCCGAATGGGTGGTGAGGAAGGTGGTGTGGTAGTGGGAGATGTAGAGAGAGNTGTGTGTGTGTGTGTGTGTGTGTATGTGCGAACGCACATGCATATATGTATGTGTATGTACATGTGCATAATAAAATAAGCAATAATCAGAATCAACAGTATCCACAGTCTACATCCATTCACTTACTCTCAATCCCGCCATATGGGCTGGACCCCCATCAGTAACACGGGATATGAAGATGCCTTCATCATCTCCTTTGTACGGTGTTGACCCGTGGCCCCCTGCAATTGACAGTCCAAGGCCTCCTGTGGTCCGCTCCACATTAACCTCAAACTTTTTAACCTCAACAACAACTGTGGGACCCGTTTCTGAAACTTCAGAAGGAAAGGAATAAGACTAGTAACATGAAATTTGTCGGTGCACATTTCGCCACATCAGTTTTCCAGCTGGCTTCATTTTCATTGTTGATTAATGTTTTTAGGGATAACATAGTTCTCATACACTAACACAATAGAAAAACTATTCCATTTCCTTAGGCACCATTCTTCTTTGTATTTCACTTACCTATGGAGCGACTATCAGCATCGGAACCTGATCCAGGATGGTCGTGGACACTGTCTCCTTCACTGCCTTCTCCTCGCTGCATAGCCTGCTGCTATTACAAAAATCAAATAGTTATCACTTCTAAATACTTTAAACCAATGCATATTCATCAACAAGTCAATTATATTCATGATTTCTCCAAATCCCTCAATTATCTAATCATAACCAAGTATGTAAAAGAGAATAAGGTTAATTCCTCAAAATCTATAAAAAAAAGAACAATAGATCCAACATAAAATAACAATAAAGCATGCAGGTGGTACCAGATATGATTAATAATTAGGTTTCTCATACATGTGCTTCTGTATCTGGTGATTACATTTGATTAATAAAATATCTTTCCAATTCTATTTCTTTAAGGATTACAGAAGTGTGTCAGTTATATATTAGTCATAAGACGGGTGTCCCACATGAGAAACCTGGAAAAGTAAACATTACCGGGCGCCCCGCTGGTGCGATGCCAGATCGAAGCTCTTTTTTTTTTTTTTTTTTTTTTTTTTTTTTTAATGTACTATCGCTGGTGGGATAACATCCATTCAACGGACAACAACCTGTTACTGTGGTTCGCAACCAAGGCATTGCTATTCACACCACTATATTTCACAGAATGTGTTACAAACATGAAGTTGGGACAACTGTAGTTTACATTTTCTACTCATTCTATCACAAAGACAAAGATTCCTCGCACATCATATACATGAAGCTACTTCGAGATATTCCATACATATATGCATGAAACAATTTACTTATATCAAAATCTAAGCTTTATAAAAAATTGGGAATAAATTAATGTAACATGGTATTTTGGTTGAGTTATCCACAACAATACCAACTAGCCAGGCAGGGGAACAAATTCTAAAAAAAAAGTTAATATGAGATAATATGTTTACTTTTCAAAAATATTTGCTGCTGCATAAGCTTATGACTTGTGCAGTTATATCTGCCATATCAAAGCTAGAAAATCAGATGCTTTTTTTTGTTTTTTTTTACAAACTGTAGCATGCACATGTGTATATTCCACATTGGTAAAAAGAGACAACTTAAAAAAGAAATACTGATAAAAATATGCTGGAACATGCCTCAAGTGAAGAACTCTCAATAAAACATCTAAATATAAAAAGACAAGCAAATTATAAAAAAAAAAGCATTGAAAATCTTTCACACTCTTTAAATTATCTATGAATCCACTGAAGGATCATAATTCATTAATCATTTAATCAATTAATTACCCCAATGATCCAGATGATGTGACCATCATGTCATGAAAAAAATTTGCTTGAGGAACAGGTGATGTGAACATGCCGTCATAGGAAGATTTGGCCATGGGTCAGGGTGACGTGAACTTGCCATTGAGAGCTTTTCAGCTGAAGGCCGAAGTGACAGGAATCACTCACCACTAGTACGAAAAAGTTCTTGCAGAGTGATTAAGACTCTTATGGCATTTAGGACAGGACCTTTGCATAGATACCACTGATAAACAAGTGTGGAATGTACAATTCGTGAGCCATGACTGGCAGAGCACCAACTCCAGGAAGGACACCAATTCCATGCTCAGGATCCTATTCCTGGCAACTGTGACAGACAGTGCACATTGTATTACAGATAACTGAATATTACCAAAAAATATTAAAATCACACAATAATAAAATGTTACTATTGTAATTATTACTGCACTGAGTTATAGACTACCTAGAGAAATGAAGTAAAGTCTATGCAAGGAAAACTGTCTATTACCATCTGAATAAAGCAAATGAAATGACAAATATAGATATCAGACAACAGCAAAAAAGCAAAAAACACCTATGCAAAAAAAGGAAAATAACATTGAAACGGGAGGCATAGAGTTTTGTCACCGCACATAAGTCTCCTTGTGTGCCAGGCCTATACGTTGCACATCTGTCAGAGTGGGGGCGCATCTACAGCTAAGGCCTGCACTTTGGGCCAAGTGATAGTAGTAAAGCATCCGGATCCTATGGGTTAATTACTAAAAAGGAATATCAACAGAACAAGCACTCCATCCAACTTTATGATCTTGCAAAATAAAGTAAAAGCAGAAACCATTGCAATTATTCAAATCTTGGGAGAAGTTACAAAAGGACTTACTCTGCGCAATTCACTTCGCAGGGGCTGTATTTGTAGGTAAAGACATTTCATTACATGAGACTGAGTAAGTACTATCAGGAATAATCATAACAGCATTGCTATAAATGGAATTCTTAATTTTTTTGACTTTTTTATGAATTCCTAAATAATTATGAAATGAGCTGTAAATTTTGCTTATGTACACAAAAAAATAGATCCACCAGACTGCATCCTCAACAAATTTCATAAAGAGAGTGTTAACACATCAAAGTGATCAAATGTAACAGGCCTAAAACTGGGGACCAACAACTTACCTGAGCAATAATGGAAGCAACTTTCTCCAGATCAGCATTCTTTGTAGAGGGGCTGATCCGTTTGTTTTTCAAGTGATGCGGCGTGTCTCGTCTTTGAAGTCGACTTGGTCGTTCGTGGTTCTCCTGGTCTTCTTCACTAGGCTCAACGCTACCCCCATCCAGTTCAAAGCCCACATGCTTCTCACTACCAAGCTGGGGAAGGGTAATATTGGAAATAAAAAATTGGACATGATATGATTTTAATCACTAAAGAATGAATGTGAAATAATAAGGTTAGATTATTAATACTATCTATTAAAATTAGGAAAATATAGTAAATATTTACTGGTTATTTAACGCTTAATACAACATGATAAATTTCAGGATATCTACCACAATATGATCAAAACAATAACATAATTATGTCCTGCAAAATCAGCTTGATCAAAATCCACCAACTTCTGTCGATTACCTGACTGTTGTCATCCACACTGGACTCTCCTGGCTCTGTATCTTGTGTTGAAGAAGGTTCTGCCTCTATTCGCACCTCCTACAGGGCGAGGGAGAGCAATGGGGGTGGGGTGAGCAGCAAAGTGTAGGGTTGCTAAATTAATAGGGGTTACTTATCATCTTTTACACTACTGCACTTAAGGAGTACAATTTGGGATGGGAGAGGCATTCATGACATTTTTGGTACTTGCATGTGAGTGGGTGGGCATCCAAAAATGAGTAAATGGGGGTGGGGGCTGGAGAGGATAAAGGGGAAGAGGGAGAGAGGGGTGGATGGAAGGAAGGGGGGACAGGGGGAGTGAAGGGGATACAGGGAGGTAGGGGGATAGAGGGAGCGAGAGGGATAGAGGGAGGGAGAGGGATATAGGGAGGGAGAGGGATATAGGGAGGGAGAGGGATAGAGGGAGTGAGAAGGAGGGAGGGATGGGGAGGAGGGAGAGAGAGAGAGAGAGAGAGAGAGAGAGAGTGAGAGAGAGAGAGAGAGAGAGAGAGAGAGAGAGTGAGAGAGAGAGAGAGAGAGAGAGAGAGAGAGTGAGAGAGAGAGAGAGAGAGAGAGAGAGAGAGTGAGAGAGAGAGAGAGAGAGAGAGAGAGAGAGAAAGAGAGAGAGAGAGAGAGAGAGAGAGAGAGAGACAGATAGATAGACAGACAGACAGACAGACAGACAGACAGGCAGACAGATAGGCAGACAGACAGACAGACAGACAGACAGAGAGAGAGAGAGAGAGAGAGAGAGAGAGACAGATAGATAGACAGACAGACAGACAGACAGACAGACAGGCAGACAGATAGGCAGACAGACAGACAGACAGACAGACAGAGAGAGAGAGAGAGAGAGAGAGAGAGAGACAGACAGACAGAGAGAGAGAGAGAGAGAGCGAGAGAGAGAGAGAGAGAGAGAGAGAGAGAGTGAGAGAGAGAGAGAGAGAGAGAGAGAGAGAGAGAGACAGAGAGAGACAGAGAGAGACAGAGACAGAGATTGATAAAAAGAGAGATATAAAAAGAGAAAGACAGAGACAGAGACTGAGGGCTATGAGATTCGGTGAGGGGATATGAATTTTCTTAAGACTATGTTTTATGTTGGGTTTCTATCATATTAATGATTATTCATTCAAATCATAATCTTCCATAGTTATCCATCAATATGAAAGGGGTCCATTAGATAGCTCACAAGATGTTAGTAAATCAAGCTCACACAAGCATCCAACAACATGGTCAATGGTTCATACTGACAACAAAACAAACTTGCATTGTTTTACTTCAAAGGCAAGATAATAGATGTAATATCAGACCAAACATAAAATGGTCTTTACTTTTTTAACAAAATGATAAATGCACTACTTTTCTGGCCACAGTATAATCAATTTCAATTAAAAACTCTCCAAATTCTTCTTTTCTTTGCAAAGATGACTAACATACAGTATCATATTTTCATTGGTGTAAGCAAAATCCAAGTTAAACAAACATAAACAACAGACCACTTTTGCCAATCAAAGAAAGATTTTTTTGTTAATCATTGCATCAAACATTAAATTATCATAAACTATCATTATGCAAACAAGCACTCTTAAGCATGTTCAAACATGGCAATAATGCAATTTTTTGTTACTTTAGCATTGCAGCATGATCTGATTTTATATTTCATTCTTACCTGGTGTACTTTTGACCTTATTTCAACATCTGCAAACTCGACCACCTCTTGCTTGGTTTGTCCCGTAACAGGTGGTGGAGGGCTTGCTCTCTGTGGACGGAAAGGCTCACCTTTGTCCTGAAGAGAGAAAGTCATAAAATATTTCTGGATCACATGAGTTCCTAGGCAGCAAATTCTTGTTCCAATACACTAATAATAACAAAAGAAAAAATTAAAGGAAGTAAATATAATGCCAATAGAAAAAAATAATAACAATGATTATTAACTAAAATTAAACCTAACAAATGTAAACTAACCATGAGCTCTCCAGCAGTAACCAGTGGTCCGTCACTTGTCTTGCCTCCCTTCCCAAAGAGTTTTTCCGCTCGGGCCTTGAGATCTCGTGGGTGTGGTGTGTTGTGCCTCACAAAGTTGCTCTGAAGATGTTAAAGACTTTAGCAACAAGTTGTGAAATGTTCCAACAGCTACTCAGTCTTTCGCAAAAATTCAAGGTATAAAAAATATTACAACCCCAACACAAGAGCTTCAAACAACAAAAACATGTCACCTAAAAGACTATTGTATCAAAAACAAGCAATGAATGGGTACACAGGTACTGACTTCTTTAAAGAGAAATAAGTATAAACTGTTAGTCAGATTTACATCTATTGGTTCTGAACTTTACTTTCCAAGCTGTAATGTGCCTATAAAGGTTACAAACTTACTCTGATGTTGGCACAATGAATGAAACCAAAAACATATAAATAGGCTTATGAGATCAAATGAAACAGTAGCTGTATTATCTGGCTCGCTGGTGGTAAAAAAAGTGTCTAATGTTGTTATCTTAACTTTGTGCATGTCAACAAATACAAATTGTGGGACTTTAATCATCACACTCTTTGTGTGTGTGGGCTTGTGTGAGTACTTGTTTGAACATGTTGTCACACACTTACATGCATGAGCACAGATATGTTTTCAATTAATCTATCTGACTCTCAGTTGATGTCATGATAACAACCGTAGACTCAACATGAAAAAAGATATCTGAACTCTTGTTTACATCACCGACAAAAAGCAATATCTAAAATGGAAGACAACTGCAGGATATGAGCAAATCTATCCTGACACTCAAGCAGGTAAATTACTTCTAAACACAAGATTTTTTGCTCTATCAGCTTGTACACTGTGCTTGGGATGTATGGGATTATAGCCATTGTATTTCAGGCAAAGTCTTGTAAGCACAATTCATTAGCAATATCCACCATTTCAAAGAAGAAAATTAAAACGGTCTTCGCAATGCTGTTAATTTTTATAGGCTTCTAAAGAGCAAATGAACTGCTTAATACTCATGCTTGAAGACTCAGCCATATACTCTAATATACCAAACCTACACGAGACCAACAAGTCATTTAGAGCAACACATATTAACTTAAACACACACAATACTCTGCACATCTATATGTTCTTGTTCTAGATATAGAAAAGACAATATATCAATAATAGTATTAGTAACAATAATAATAACAGTAATAATAACAAAGAAAATAATAATAATGATAATAAAATAACATTACTATAGTCAGTACATCTCATTCATGGGTAAGAAATCAGCAGGCTCATCATTTACATGACTACTCCCTAAGAGACCAATCAAGATCAAACAGGAAAATAATAAAAAGAAACCAGAGAAAAATGAGCAAACAAACAAATAAGGGCTGAAAATCACATGAGGTAGAGAGACATCCTGGAATAAGCATTGTTTATCTTGGGAAACATAGGGCCCAAGGTGGAAAATGTGTCACAACAAAGACCTAACAAGAAGCACAGATTCAACTTGCTACACATAATTCTCTTGTGAAGGATTATCATCATCTTAAGAGCATTTTACTTTATTCCATGATATGTACAATGTCTTCATATATAATAATAAAGAAAAGTTAGAAAAAAAGATGATTTCTACAATAAGTTAATCACAAATTAAAGAAAAATCAAAAGATTGCTCAAAAAACATTAATATCCTAAAATATTTCAAATGAATGAAAAGGCTCTTTCCTGTAACACCAATAACAATATTCTATGAATAACATTCCAAAACATCATATATATTTTCTTTTGTACCATTTTCTCTTTCTCATATCACTCTTTGTTACCATATCTAATACCCATTAATTATTAAAGTAATGTATATATATATAGAAATATATATACATATACATATACATAATTTATGTATACATATACATATACATAATTTACATATACATATACATAATATA